CGTACTGACGCTGTTTTCAGCAGAACTACCGTGGTGTTGTTTTTTGTGCAGAAATGAAAGTTCCCAGAATGAGCTAAAACTTTTTGACGATTTTTTTGGAACAAAAGAGACCCCCAAAGCTTCATGGGAGGGCCAGAAGAGCCACGAGGAGGGCACAACCCCCAGGGCGCGCCTGGTGGGCCTGGATTGCCCCAGTGGGTTGTGCTCACCTCGAGGCCCATCTTAGCGTGAAACCAACGCCAAAAAATCCTATAAATAGAGAAAACCCTCGGGGTAAACCTAGATCAGAAGTTCCGCCACCGCAAGGCTCTATAGCCACCGAAAACCAATCTAGACACCGTTCCGGCACTCAGCCGGAGGGGGAAATCGTCACCGTTGGCCATCTTCATCATCCCGGCAGCCACCATGATCAGGAGGGAGTTGTCCACCCTCGGGGCTGAGGGTTTGTACCAGTAGCTATGTGTTTAATATCTCTCTCTCTCTCTCGTGTTCCTGATATGTCACTATCTTGATGTATCGCGGGCTTTGTTAATATAGTCGGATCATATGGTGTTTTCCCCTCTCTATCTTGTTGTGATGAATTGAGTTTTCCCTTTGAGATTTCGTTGTTATCGGATTGAATACTTTTATGAATTTGAGAGCACTTGATATATGTCTTGCATATGAATACTCATGGTGACAATGGGGTATCATATCGATTCACTTGATATGTGTTTTGGCATTCAACTCGCGGATTCCCGCAGTGACATTGGGGTAATCTATGCATAGAGATTGATGCACGTTCTCGTCTTTTGTTTCTCTGGTAGAAATCTTGGGGAACTCTTTGAGGTTCTTTGTGTTGGATTGAGCATTATGAATATGAAATTATTTGGTGTTATTTTAGTACGAATTATTGGATAGATTGATCAGAAAGAATAGCTTCAAGGTGATTTCGTACCCTACAAACAATTTCTTCTTATGTTCTCCGGTAGATAGGAACTTTGGAGTGATTCTTCATTGCATGTTGAGGGATGGTTATATGATCCAATTATATTAGCATTCTTGATAGATTGCACTAGCGAAAGTACGGACCCTAGGCCTCATTTTCAAGCATTGCAATACCGTTTTTGTGCCCGTTTTCTATTTGCTACCTTGCTGTTTTTATTTATTCAGATTATAAAAATATATTTCTACCATCCATATTACACTTTTATCACCATCTCTTGGTCGAACTAGTGCACCGATACAATTTCCCATTGTATTGGGTGTATTGGGGACACAAGAGATTTCTTGTATTTGATTGCATGGTTGTTTGAGAGAGACCATCTTCATCCTACGCCTCCCACGGATTGATAAACATTAGGTCATCCACTTGAGGGAAATTTGCTACTATCCTACAAAACTCTGTGCTTGGAGGCACAACATGAGTCTACAAGAACAAGTTGTGTAGTAGACATCACATATCCATAACTAAAGATAGAGAACAACTTAGAACAGCAAATAAAATCTACTTGGTGATAAAGCAAACAAGCACACATGATAATATTCACCGCACGCTATTGCTCCCCGGCAACGGTGCCAGAAAAAGGTCTTGATAACCCACAAGTATAGGGGATCAGTTGTAGCCTCTTTCGATAAGTAAGAGTGTCGAACCCAACGAGGAGCTAAAGGTAGAACAAATATTCCTTCAAGTTCTATCAACCACCGATACAACTCTACGCATGCTTTACGTTCACTTTACCTAGAACAATTATGAAACAATAAGTACTTTGAAGGTGTTGTATGATAGGTTTGCAGGATAATAAAGATCACATAAATAAAAACTAGGCGTTGTTTAGATAAATAAACAACTAAGTTAGTTTTAGTCGAGAGATTTTTGTCACAAGAAAGTTATTTGTCCCTAGGCAATCGATAACTAGACTGGTAATCATTATTGCAATTTTATATGAGGGAGAGGCATAAGCTAACATACTTTCTCTTCTTGGATCATATGCACTTATGATTGGAACTCTAGAAAACATCCGTAACTACTAAAGATCATTAAGGTAAAACCTAACCATAGCATTATAAGGTATCAAGTCCTCTTTACTCCCATACGCAAACAACCTACTTACTCGGGTCTGTGCTGCTATCACTCACGCCACCCACCATAAGCAGATCATGAACATATTGCAAACCCTACAACGGGGATCCCTCACGCTTGTGCGACACGGAGAGCACCATAGGACAGCACCAATAATAAAACATACAACTCAAACCAATCACGATCATCAATTAACTCATAGGACAAAGCGGATCTACTCAAACATCATAGGATAGCCATACATCATTGGGAAATAATATATAGCGTTGAAAACCATGTTTAAGTAGATATTACAGTGGGAAGAAGAGGTGTTACATCGCTGCATAGAGGGGGAGAGAGTTGGTGTTGACGGCGGCGAAGTTGTTGCTGTAGATCGTCGTCACAATGATGGCCCCGACGGCGCTCCGGCGCCACCAGGAGAGAGGGGGAGAGAGCCCCCATCCTTCTTCTTCTTCCTTGACCTTCCCCCTCGATGGGAGAAGGGTTTCCCCTCTAGTCCTTGGTCTCCATGGCAGCGGAGGTGCAGGAGCCCCTCCGAGATTGGATCTCTCTCTCGGTTTCCTTCTGTATCTGCATTCCCAGATTCTGGCCTTTCACCGTTTCTTAAATTTCCGGAGATCTGTAACTCCGATTGGCTGAAATTTTAACACAATTTTTATCCGGATATTAGCTTTCTTGCGGCGAAAGAAGAGCACCAATCGCTTTACGGGGTGACCACAAGGGCCCAGGACGCGCCCCTCACCCTTGTGGGCCCCTCGGGCATCGTCTCGCGTTGATTCCACTTTCCAAAATTCATATATATTCCAAAAAAATCTCCGTAAGTTTTTACCCGTTTGGACTCCGTTTGATATGAATTTTCAGTGAAACAAAAAACATGCAACAAACAGGAACTGGCACTGGGCACTGGATCAATATGTTAGTACAAGCAAATCATGTAAATTGTTGCCAAAAGTATATAAAAGTTGTAGAATATTGGTATGGAACAATGAAAAATTATAGATACGACGGAGACGTAATAGAGCTATCAATTACACAGATCGGTGCCCCTTGAGGTGGACAGGCTCATGTATGGTTGAGGACTGTGGCCGGAAATACTACAGTTTTCTTGCCAAGTAGGAATATTGTGGGGCCCATGCATCAGTGAGAGAAGAGTGAGTGAGAGAGAGAGCGCGGGCGCGCGCCTGGTCGGTTGGCTGGCTGAGCCTTCTCTTTTTCTCCCTCTTTCTTTTCTTTTCTGTTTTCTGTTTCTGCCTTCTGTTTCCATTTTTTCAAATTTGAATTTGAATTTTCTTTCAAAAGATAAAGTATTCTTAAATTACCTTGGGAATATTTCTTGCTATTTGAACATTTATCCAAGGGTTTTTGACAAACTATAGTTTGTGAAATTAACTAGTGGGCCCATTTGCAAAGTTGTTTTTATTTCTTTTTTGTTTTATTTATTATTCCAAAGATTTACTTGTAGTTTAATTTCCCAAACTAAACTATTTTCGAACTCTGGTTCACTCAAGAATAATTAGGGCAAATATACATAATCTTATAGGAAATTTATTCCCGGCCCTTATGCAAGTTTTCTGAATAAAGTTTTGGGTGAGCCCTTCATGGCTTCCAATTAAATTCAAATGGTGATTTGGATTCAAATGTTGTCCTTATTGGCCTCAAAAAACAAATACGCAAGAAAAGCATGGATGCATATGCTTCTAATTTCACAACCAAAATTTAGGGAAAATTTGGGTTGTAACACGAGGCACAAGTTTTACCTAGGCTTAGACCATCACTAGTCGTAACAACCTTACTCCTAGTTTACATATTTTTCTAAAGTGAAAGTATATGACAATGATTATTGTTAAAGTATCTGTTGTAAAATTATCGGTTAGTAAATTTGCATAGATTAAGCAAACAAGATGAAGATGCATGTAATATATAACCTAAAAAGGCTTTCGCCCTGCTTTATTGATTGCGGTATTGTCTGGAATCTTCCACCCTCTCTGCCCCGACACTTTGTCCTCTCCCACCCCGACTCCTTTCCGGGCAATGGCCCATCCTCATCGGCCTTATCTAGCCTCATCCGCAGCTCATGCTCTATCCCATTGCTGGTGGGTGACACCGTTGATTTCACCTCGCCTCTTCTTGGTGAGACGTCGTCCCGTGCGAGCGCTCAAGGTGGGGACCTGGAGCTTCATGTCAGGATTCATTCCGTGCGAGCACCAAGGTGAGTACCCCAAGAGTCACGAAGTCCATTGCGACACCAGAGCAAAGTCCCTTGCGGCCTTGCTTGCCAGCCCCTTCAGGCGAGTACCCTTACTGCCGACTGCTGGCCACATGCTACACACACCTACCCTGCTCCTGCTACAATGTCCTCTCACACTCCGCATGGTGCGGGGCTGCCCAACTATTTGTCACGCCCCGGCCTCGCGGTTTTCAATTCGCTTCCAAACGGGCAATCGACCATAAAATTTGGAATTCGTGTCGACGTGAATAAAAAATAATTTCTGGAAAGGGATTTCAATTTAATTAAATGACTTGTAGTGAGTAGATTATTTCAGAAGGCATTGTAATGAATGACTGGACTGCAAGCCAAATTAAGGGCTGTATTTGATTTAAACTCCATGAACAAAACTCAGTGACATAATAAGCTTGAGATGCAAGACGAAATGGGAGAAAAAGGCCATGGCCGTGGTGAATCGACATTTCCATAAGCTTGAGATGCACGCAACGCAACGCAACGCAACCAAATCCGATGCTGAAACTGACTCGAAATGTAAACATTTCGATTTCTTCACCGAGCAAACGCGGCTTCGATTGCCATCAGGATCACAAAGCTTTAAAAGGCCTTGCCCTGAGTCGATCTTCTCCTGCGCACCTCCAATCTTTCCCATCATCTCCTCTCCTCTCCTCCACCGCATCCTCTCGATCGCATCTTCCGGCGTCCACTGCTCCCATGGAGATTGCCCGCCGGGAGCCCTTCAGCATCATGTCCGGCTCCGGCCGGAAGCGCCCGCGCCCGCTGGAGATCCTTCGCAAGCGGTTCCAGTCTGAGCTCGTCGCGGTTCGTCGCCTCCTCGCCGAGGCGGCCACCGTGCTTCCTGCCTCGTGCCCGTCGGCTCCCCGCGTGCGCGTTCGTCCAGCCGAGGAGCCGCTAGCCAAGAAGAGGAAGGCGTCCCCTCCCGTTCCCATGAAGAAGATGACGCCCAAGGAGCGGAACCAGCTCTACGCGGACCTCACCAAGCTAGCCAAGCTGTCTGAATCCCATGTACTCCCTGCTCATATCCTGGAGCTGCTGAAGAAGCACAGCCGCCGCGGCATCTGCGACGATTACGTCGAGATCGAGATGCACGCCGTCCAAGACGCGGCCCTTGTGGAGATGCAGAAGCAGCTGGACAAGTTCCTTCGAGAGAGGGCCCAAGACCAAGAGGAGGACGAAGACGTCGACATCGTCGGCGGCGTCTCCCCTTTGCCGGTCAGGCCGACACCAGTGCAGCTCGTCGTCGAAGAGGATGAGGAGTACGTGGACATCTGCGGCGACGCCTCACCGGTGAAGAATCTTGGCCAAGGTGCAACCATCAGCGGCAGCAGCGGTTTGGATTCTGGTTCATCTCACCAGAGTGTCGACAGTCGTCCAGCTCCGGCAGAGCGCGCCGCCAACAGTAGTACGCCTCCAACACGCGACCTCATCGCCCGTGCCAACAAGATTCTGGAAAGGCGGCGAAAGGAGGAGACGTCCCGTGCGAGGGAGAAGGCCCGTCAGGAGCTGCTCGAGATGGAGAGGACGGCAATGCCGAAGGACACCCTAGACGAGGACGTGAAGGCGCTCGGCATTGATCAGTACAACACGGCGAGGCCGAACAACTTGTTGCGACAGATGGGACTCTTCCTCAAGCTTGACGACCACGACCTGAAGCAGCAGCAGCAGCAGCATCATAATCAAAGCTGCCAAGAAGATTTAGAGGAAGGGGAGATTCGGCTGTGATCGTCGTTTTCCCTTTTTGTAATAGTCCTCTTCTGCCGCTGAACGTGATTGAAAATGTATGAAATTACCTGATCGATTATAGTTCGATTCTCAGCTCAATTAGTGATTTTCTTTTGTGTGTACACATGTTTGTGGTGTTGCCATCTTGTCTAGCAACATGCTGACACTTGATGCTGTTCTTGAGGCCTCAGAGAAGGCGTGTAAGCATGATTGAATGAGAAAGTTGTGCTTGTGTGGCCACCTCTTATACAGACCATATGAAAGTAGATGATCGATGATTATACGCAGTGCATGATTGTGGTCAAATAATTAATGACCCGTAGCGCCTGAGACGCTCGCTTCTTGGCCTAAACCTCATCAATTATCTGGTATGTCACGTGGTGCTTGGTGAAACAAGAACAATCTCTTGGTACCGAAACGAGATGCGGTAAGAATGCAACAAAGCATCGAGAACACACTGATCAGGCCAACCCGGTTATTCTTTCAGAGTTACAAAGCAGGATCTGCAGCGGTCTGTGAAATCGTGTCCACTCTTTGCTTCTTGGCAACTACGGATGATGATGTTTCAGGCGGTGTCACAGTTACTTATGTTTTCCCCACCGCGATGAATGCCACTCTCTTCCTCGTATCAGGCTTGACATCTCTGCGTGGAGTCGGCGCAGCAGCGGGCGTGCCAAGAAGAGAACCCGGAGTGTGTTGATCGTTTGGTAGTTGCCTCCCACTGTGAGAATCTCCAGCATCGCCGCAATGGGTGGCTTCATCTGGGTGGTCAGCCAGAGAAGTATGATGTTGCTTGGCTGGGGTGTTTGCTCCATCAAGGTCTTCCATCTCTGATATGTCACAAGTGCAACATTAGAACTTATAAGAACATTTTTCAAAGTATGGCACGATAATAAACACACAAATAAACAAGCATTCATGTTGTATTAGATACAAAGTAAACAATTGATATAAAAAAAGAAGTGCAGCATTTTGGCAACACATGCACTTCAGTTTCCAGTTGGAGCACGCAACCAAAAATATGTTTTAGAATTGCAATGGAAATAATAGAAAATAAGACCATAGTCGCAATTCACAGTGTGTTGTCTTCCAGTAAGCACAATCCCAGCCATAATTCAGCTAGGCTAACTGACCAACTGTTGTTTTCGTTGCAACAACTGTCAGTCAGGTTATCTGACATATAGAGATATATGGTTATTATACCAAAATATCAGCAGGCTGTCACGTATAAGTACTGCAGAAAATGCAACCGTGAACTCCGAATGCTCATATATCGTGAATCAGAGAAGGTAAGGTGTTCCAACCTTCACTAACAAGTCCAAGGGTCTCATACTGGATTGATGAATCTGGAGTGCACGACTTCATATCCTCATCTTGGGTTTTCTGACTGCTAGCTTTGGTCTTTTCATGCAAAACAAATTTATCTTTCACCCATACACACTCCAGGATAGTACTGGGATCGTTGCTCGAGGGGTAGTACTCTCTGAAAGCCTGTGAAATGAATAGGCAAAACCAAGGAATTATGTAGTGAGATAGCTGCAAGGTCCAGCCACTGCACTTATGTGTGAAAGCATGATCTTACGCAATACATATTTTTTCCATGATCAACAAGGATACAGAGTGCTAGTGTAGAAGCAAAACATACCTGCACTTTATCAATACTGATCTTAACAGCCTGCTTTTTATCCGTAAGATCAGTAACCTTGTTGTATACTGATACAACATCAAGTAACATCTGCAAACATAATATCAGAGACAAAGAAGACAAAGAAGATAATACTGATCTTAGGCAAAATCTCTGCATAAAGAGACAAAGAAGATAATTGGCACGCATATCATTCCAAGTTGACATTTCTTAGATTCCTAAGTTAATACACATAACAGTTTGACTACCAAGTTAGTTGCTGCATATATATACTGAATTTAATTGATACAATCATTCATAGCCATGCCTGTAGAGTATGTGGCTCACCTGTTGGGTCAGGACCCTCAGTCTTGCAAGCAAAGCAAGCACTGCAGTGCAAAGTTCTACGAAGAAAGATCTAGCAAGTAAAAAGCTGATCTGACTGTAGTATGGATTAAGGAACTTTGGATAGGTAGCAATCAACTCCGAATGAAAGTTACTACGAGATTTGTTTCCTTTTCGGGGGCAAGCAAAGTGTGGGTGTACACCTTCCTTTATTTCTGCTATAAGAAAATAAGAGCACAAAAAATAAAGGATACACTGCTCCCTTCATAACAGGTTCAGCCATCTGCACAAAATACAGAAAGCATTAGTGTTTTCCCTCTGATGTGCAAACCAAGTTAGCTATCTCTGGTCTCGAAGTTGATCAAGAATGATCTGTAAACTACAACGACTCATCCAGAAGTATGCACCATGCAGTTACAAAATATAGAATTTCTCGGGTGATGAGCTTCATGTACCATATACTAGGAGTTAAATACATTGGAAACCTTGCAAACATGCAGGGATAATCACAACACTTTGCTGCTAATTGCTATATCCTAGTTAGCTAAATAAAGAAGTGAAACAACCGGGCAATATTGGTAGACTTCCACAGATTCAAATTTCAATATTGCATAACTTGTAACTTGAAAACAACCACAAGGAACAAAAGTTATGCTCTATTAACAGCGTCATTGCATTTATGATTCCATCAAATATTCGATTCAGCTACAATAGGATAGTTTGCAAAATGCAACCAGTGTCAACAGAAAACAAAACACACCTGGGACAGCAAACGGGCAACCCCCAAAAGCCTCTTATAGTGGCTATGGTTTGCACCAGGCTTCCTCTTACCCTGCCTATAAAAGAAAACATTAAGGAATAACCTGAATAGCAGGCTAATATAATTACAGCATCATTATACCACGAATTAAAGCAAACTGAATAATCTTAACTGCCAAGAGATTAAGCCTGCCCATACAAGTGGGAACTTCTAGCTAGGCTTTTAGTCAATAGTGAATACATTTTTCTTTGTTATATCTTCTAGGATCAATATAAGGACCACAAATATCATCACAGGACTAAACCATGTCCCCAACATGAAGGATTTGTGTAAGGACATTACTTCTGCCATGGTGTACCATACACATAATCTATTTATTTTTTGCGATTGACATACGCATAACAAATGACAAAGATTGTTTTACAGAGGAGCGCAACAGCACCAGGGATGCGAAACCTGACGAACCTGTTCGGAACAAGAATGGTGTTGGCCGGCTTACGACAGGTGATGACCGGGAACACGGCGTTGATGACCTCTGCAAGATTGGCACCAAGCAACAGCTTCAGGTCCCTCCGCACCTACGCGCCCAACCGAAACACATACAAATCACACTCATGAGTGCAGAGCCACTCGCCGGAAAAAGGTAGGGGAGGGGGGCGAGCACCTAGGCGTACCTTGAGGAGGTACTGGAAGTAGGCGGCACCGCGGTGCTGGTTCCGGTGCTTGTAGACCAGGCGCTCAAGCACTCCGGCCTCCGCTTGCAGGTGGCGCAGCGCCGCCCGCAGCCGATGCTCCTCCGCCGACCCCTCCTGACATTGCGCCATGGCGGCCGCCCCGGGCTTGGTAGCTGCCATGTCTAGGTCGTGGATGGATGTACATAGAATTTAAACGCAATGCTCAACTATCCAAAAAAGTACATAAACCATCAACTTAAGTTAACAGATCGATAACAAAAATCCACTGCTCGTGGTCGAGAGGTAATTAGAAATTACCCAGCGGCAACGGAGGCGAGCAGCGTGCCCTCGGCGTCGGATGTCGGTGCCTGGCCGGCGGTAGCAGGGCGGCGGTCCTGGTACCAGGTGGCACGACGGCAGGAGCCCGGCGGACGGGGCCAAAAATGACCGGCGCGAAGGCGGGCTGCCGAGGGGCCGGGGAACGGCGGCAGGGCACGGTTGTGCGAAGCGGCGGGGGCAGACCGGGCAGGACGGCGTGGGGGCCACAGCGCTCCGGTGAAGGGCGGCGGCCGGCGGAGGACAGGAGAGCGGACAGGCGGCCCGTGTGTGCGTTTGGGCATTCGGCGCAGCGAGGAGGCCTCCTTCGGGCCTTCTTCTTCATATTTTGGGCCTTGGGGGGTTGCTACTGTCCGGGCTGAACACCTAGGGAGCGGCTAAGAATTGAAACTTTTCCCTCAAGTTAGGGTTTCTTCTTCTCGCGCTGGCGATCTCCGCCGCCGTCGAGCAGTTTGGCCGTCCCTGCTGTCGATCTTTCCCTGCTAGCTGTCTGCGGCTGGTGGGCTGAGCGACGGACTAGGGTTCCTATCCGTGTACCCGATACGTTTCTCCGTCGGGTAAGGGAATCTCCATGGCTGCAGCTGAGACCTCGGATCAAGCGGGGATCAGCGATGTGGAGAGGATGATGCAGGAGCTAGGGTTGCGAGAGGAGGACCTCGACGACATGGTCTTCGATGAGGAGGGGGCACCACCCGACGCTACGAGATGGGCGGCGCTGGCTAGGGTTAATACTCCAAAAACCTATAGTCAGACGTGGTTTTATCGGAACATGAGATCGGCGTGGGACTTGGCGCAGGAGGTGAAATTCAGACCGCTGGAAGACAACCTATACACATTCCAGTTTGCGTGCCTTGGTGATTGGGAGAGGGTGATGAATTATGGTCCATGGCACTTCCGTGGAGATGCGGTTATCATTAAACCCTATGATGGTGTGACTAAGCCCTCGACCATCAAGATGGATACGATTGAGATATGGGCGCAAATACACGACGTCCCAGATCTGTATGCTCATCTAGTTCCAGCCCTCGCAGCGAAGGTGGGGGAAGTCCTGTTTGCCGAACCCCCATCTCAAGACTTCGCCGGTAATTTCTACCGTGTTTGGGTCAGGATTGATGTAACTAAGCCTCTGAAGAATGCAGTGTCTATGGTCAGAAACTCGAAGCACCAGATCTATCGAGTGAAATATGAAAAGCTCCCAGATTGGTGTGCGGTCTGTGGAATGCTAGGGCACCTGTTTAAGGAACATGGCATGGGAATTCACCCACCATCTGCTCTCATCTTTAAGGATCTGCGTGTTGGTTGGTTATGAGATCCGGTAGGGGTCCTGGTGAGAATCGAAACCGCAGAGGAGGAAGAAGGGGAGGACACAATGGAGGCAGAGGCCGTTCAGAACCACAACAGGAGTTTTATGAGGACGTCGACAATGACGCAGCTGTGGGGAAGTCTGTAGTTATGCACGGAGAGGGTGGCAAGGATCCTACTCTAGATGCTGTAATGGAGGAACACTCACGGAAAAGGACGGAAGTAGAGCGGGGCAGTAACCCTTCGGCTACCCCTTCTATGCATGTATCCAGCTTCGTGGATAATCAGCTGGCTATAGTACCAGCAGCTGCCACCTTGGTTAGTCCACCTATCAAGAGAGATCCCAAAAAGGCAAGAACAGAGCAGGAAGGCAATGAGACCCTTACTAGTGTTGCAAGAAATTTGGCGGGCTCCTTCGAGGGGCGCCGCCATGCCCAATGAATACGTTCTGCTGGAACTATCGTGGCGCGGGTAAACCTGCGACAGTTCGTGAAATTCGCGAATTCGCGATGAAGTTTACCCCTACCGTGCTTTGTATTGTTGAGACTAAAATAAGTGGGGCGCGTGTAGAAGCACTAGCGAGTACGCTAGGTTATGATCAATCTTATGCTATTGACAGTCAGGGAAGAAGTGGTGGTATGGGCATGTTTTGGAATAATACAATTAAGCTTGAGATCTTGGGTGACTCATGCTATCATATTGATGCTAAAGTTGAGGAACCAGGTCAAGAACCTTGGCGGATAACATGTGTATATGGAGAGGCACAAACTCATCTTCGGCATCAAACTTGGGATCTTATGAAGGGCATTAGCTTTACTAGCGACTTGCCGTGGCTTTGTTTCGGTGACTTCAACGAGGTACTTCAGCCGAACGAACACGAAGGAGCAGCCAACAGAAGCAATGCCCAGATACAGGGCTTTCGGGATACAGTTGACATTTGTATGCTAATGGACTTGGGTTATAAAGGTCGATTTTGGATGTTTGAGAAAAAGATAGCAGGAGGTGCATATGCGCGAGTGCGCTTGGACCGAGCATTGGCCTCTGCCAGTTGGATGACTAGATTCCCACAAGCTTCGGTGACACATCTAACCTCAGCCACATCGGATCATGGTCCCATACTTGTAAATCTTGATGATACACAGAACACAACAAGGCCAAATCACACTTTTCGGTATGAGGTGATGTGGGAATCACATGATACATGGAAGGAGACAATAACCAATAGCTGGAATGCGGCGAACGCTGGCTATGGGGTCGGTGATTTTCGTGACAAGTTGCTGTCCATAACAAATGATCTGTCTAAATGGAGTAAGGAAACTTTCGGAAGTGTTCGTAAAGAGATAAAGCATATAAAAACCCAGCTTGAGTCGTTGCGCAATGATCCAGTGTGTATGAGTCCGTCTCATCCAGAGCTAAAGCTAAATGAGAGATTAGCGGAACTATACCACAGGGAAGAGTTAATGTGGCGTCAGAGATCACGGCTAGAATGGCTCGCGGCCGGTGATAGAAACACAAAGTTTTTTCACATGAGAGCAAGTATGAGGCGAAAGAAGAATATGATCCGGGCACTCACAAATGCTTTCGGCACTCATGTTGAGGATCCAGCTGACTTAAAAAACATGGTTCTGGAGTTCTACAAAACCTTGTATACGTCAGAAGGGGTTCAGGGGATGGATGAGGTCTTGAGGCACGTTCCGAGGAAAGTTACACCTGAGATGAATGAGATTTTATGTGCGCCATACACAAATGCTGAGATAAAAAATGCCTTGTTTCAAATGTTCCCAACCAAAGCTCCAGGTCCTGATGGTTTTCCGGCACAGTTTTATCAGCGACAATGGGATATTTGTGGTGATGAGGTCTCTGCAGTAATCATGCGCATCATTAGAGGGGAGGAAAATCCGGAGAGCATCAATGATACGGTCTTGGTCCTTATACCAAAAGTAACAAATCCTAATCATTTGTCACAATACAGGCCGATTAGTCTTTGCAATGTCTTGTACAAAATAGCCTCAAAGGTGGTTGCCAATAGATTAAAAGTCATTCTTCCAGATATCATATCCAAGGAGCAATCCGCTTTTGTGCCTGGTAGGATGATCACAAATAATATAATATGTGCTTATGAATGCTTGCACTTTATGAAGAGGAACAGATCCAAAACTAATAGTTTCTGTGCTCTGAAGCTGGACATGATGAAGGCCTATGACCGTGTAGAGTGGGACTATCTACAAGCAATTATGGTCAAACTGGGGTTCTCCTCGGCTTGGATTGATATTGTTATGGGCATGGTTAGATCAGTTTCTTTCTCAGTTCTGTTCAATGGAGAAAAGCTTGAGAGTTTCAAACCAACAAGAGGTATTCGACAGGGAGATCCTATTTCCCCTTACCTATTCTTACTTGCAGCAGAGGGCCTTTCGTGCCTACTCAATTCCAGTTCTCGGTCATCAGCTCTAAGTGGAGTTAAGGTGGCTCCCACAGCTCCTGAGGTGAACCACCTATTATTTGCAGATGACAGCCTGTTGCTTTTTAAGTCTAGTGATGAGGGTGCAAATTTGGTGTCAAACCTGTTGAATCAATACTGTAATGCGTCGGGACAGAGGATTAATAATGATAAGTCCTCAATATTCTTTAGTAAGGGGTGCCCTCAAGGCACTAGACAACGAATTAAGGATATCTTGGTTGTGCAGAATGAGTCACTCAGCGAGAAATACTTGGGGATGCCTACAGAAGTTGGACAATCAAAGAATGGCACGTTCAAGTATCTCCGGGATAGAGTTTGGGAAAGGATAAGAGGATGGATGCAGAAACTATTGTCAGCAGCGGGAAAAGAGGTTCTTATTAAATCGGTGGCCCAATCGATTCCAGTTTTCTCCATGTCTTGTTTCAGACTCCCGAGGGGGCTTTGTGAGAGCATAACTTCATCCATAAGGCAATTCTGGTGGGGAAGTAAGCAAGGAAAAAGAAAGCCATGTTGGGTGTCGTGGGATGTTATGACGAGGCCGAAGAATTTGGGAGGGCTAGGCTTCCGGGACCTTGAGATTTTTTAATTTGGCGCTTATGGCGAGACAAGCTTGGAGATGCCTAGAGAATCCTGACTCTTTGAGCGCTCGATTCCTAAAGGCTGCTTACCACCCTAATTGCACTGTGCTGGAGGCAGGACTGGGGCCGCACCCTTCTCAGATTTGGCGTTTGATCCTAGATGGCCGAGACATTATCAAGCAGGGAATAATCAGAAGAATTGGAGATGGACGGACGACTAGCATATGGGATCATAACTGGATCCCAAGGTCTGGTTTGATGAGACCAGTATCTTCGCTGGTGCTCAACCCACCAATAAAAGTTGCTGAACTGATTGATGCCACTTCGGCCTCGTGGAAGGAAGAGCTAATTCGGCAGATATTCACACCGGTTGATGCCGAGGCCATTCTGCGAATCCCTATATGCTCCAGGCCTCTAGAGGATTTTTGGGCATGGTCCGAGGACCCGCGGGGTCGTTTCTCTGTCAGGACGGCCTATAAGATGATCTTCAGAATTAAGATGGGGAGAGAGGCATGGTTGGAGGAATCAGAAAGCCTATCAAATGTAGAGAGGGAGAGGAAAGGATGGAATGATCTCTGGAAAATCAAGGTGCCCTCAAAACTGAAGGTTTTTGCTTGGAGGCTGTCACAACATTCTTTGCCTATCGGGGACGTCCTTCATCATCTAAATATGGCAACAACAGGTGTATGTGCTGTTTGTGGAGCCCCGGACAGTTGGCGCCATGCACTACTGGATTTTGCCGTCTCCCGATGCACTTGGGCTCTGTCTAATGAAGAATTGGTGCAGCATATGTCTTCCAACCAAGACCCCAATGCAAAGCACTAGCTACACTCCATGGTAGAAGTTCTTAAGGAAGATGAGGCCACCATCCTGATCGTGACCTTGTGGGCGATTTGGTCTGCTCGCCGCAAGTTGATTCATGAAGGCATCTTCCAATCTCCTCATGCTATTAATGGTTTTATATCAAGCTATCTAACAGACATCGAG